AGCAATACTGGAAGAGCATATGGGAGAAGGACGCAACCCATAACGGCAATGCTCAGTGGCTAGTGGATCTGAGGGCAGACCACAGCGACCTCCCTGAACAGGGTCCAGTAACCATCACAGTGGCAGATATCCAAGAAAGGGTCTCCAGTATGAAGAGTTGGACAGCACCAGGGCCCGACATGGTTCACGCCTACTGGCTAAAGAAGCTGACTGCACTCCACGAGCGTCTGGCAGCACAAATGAACCAGCTGCTAGTTAACGAGAGACACCCGGAATGGCTAACCGAAGGTCGGACGGTCCTGATCCCCAAGGACCCCAAGAAGGGACCGGTCCCCTCCAACTACCGACCAATAACCTGCCTCAGTACTACATGGAAGCTCCTGTCAGGCATCATATCGGCTAAGATGAACAGGCACATGGGTCAATACATGAGTGGGACACAGAAAGGAATTGGCAAGAATACCAGAGGCGCAAAACACCAGCTACTGGTAGACAGAACAGTCAGCCGAGACTGCAAGACCAGACTGACCAACCTGTGCACTGCCTGGATTGATTACAAGAAGGCCTATGACTCAATGCCCCACAGCTGGATACTGGAATGCCTAGAATTGTACAAGATCAATGGGACCCTAAGAGCCTTCATCAGGAACTCAATGGGGATGTGGCGTACAACACTAGAGGCCAACTCCAAGCCCATAGCACAAGTCACCATCAAGTGCGGGATCTACCAAGGAGATGCTCTGTCCCCACTGCTGTTCTGCATAGGCCTGAACCCCCTCAGTGAGATCATTAACAAGACTGGCTACGGATACCGACTACGGAACGGAGCAGTTGTCAGCCACCTCCTGTACATGGATGACATCAAGCTGTATGCCAAGAGTGAACGAGACATCGATTCACTGATCCACACTACCAGGCTATACAGCAATGACATTGGAATGTCGTTCGGACTGGAGAAGTGTAGTCGGATGGTAACAAAGAGAGGGAAGGTAGTCAGAACTGAGGGGATTGAACTACCAGAAGGCAACATTGCAGACATAGAGGACAGTTACAAGTACCTGGGGATCCCGCAGGCAATGGGAACCATGAAGAGGCCGCTAGAAAGGCTGCAACCACCAAGTACCTGCAGAGGGTCAGGCAAGTCCTGAGGAGTCAGCTGAATGGTAAGAACAAGATCCGGGCCATCAACACGTACGCCCTGCCCGTGATCAGGTACCCTGCTGGGGTAATAGGCTGGCCAAAGGAGGAGATAGAAGCCACTGACATAAAGACAAGAAAGCTCCTTACCATGCATGGAGGGTTTCACCCCAAGTCCAGCACCCTGAGGCTGTACGCTAAGCGGAAGGAAGGGGGCCGGGGACTGGTGAGTGTCAGCACCACAGTCCAGGATGAGACAAGGAACATCCAAGAATACATTGGGAAGATGGCCCCAACTGACCGAGTGCTCAGTGAATACCTCAGGCAGCAGAAACCCAAGAAAGAGGAGGGAGACGAGGAACCATCATGGAAGGACAGGCCCCTGCACGGTATGTACCACCGGCAGATAGAGGAGGTGGCTGATATCCAGAAATCCTACCAGTGGCTGGACAAAGCTGGACTGAAAGACAGCACAGAGGCACTAATCATGGCAGCACAAGAACAAGCTCTGAGTACAAGATCCATAGAGGCTGGGGTCTATCACACCAGGCAAGACCCCAGGTGCAGGCTGTGTAAAGATGCCCCAGAGACAATCCAGCACATAACAGCAGGGTGCAAGATGCTAGCAGGCAAGGCATACATGGAACGCCATAACCAAGTGGCCGGCATAGTGTACAGGAACATCTGTGCCGAGTATAACCTGGAAGTCCCGAGGTCAAAATGGGAGATGCCCCCAAGGGTGGTGGAGAATGACCGAGCTAAGATCCTGTGGGACTTCCAGATACAGACGGACAAAATGGTGGTGGCTAACCAACCGGACATAGTGGTGGTAGACAAACAGAAGAAGACGGCCGTAGTGATCGATGTAGCGGTTCCGAATGACAGCAATATCAGGAAGAAGGAACACGAGAAGCTGGAGAAATACCAAGGGCTCAGAGAAGAGCTCGAGAGGATGTGGAGGGTGAAGGTAACGGTGGTCCCCGTGGTAATCGGAGCACTAGGTGCGGTGACTCCCAAGCTAGGCGAGTGGCTCCAGCAGATCCCGGGAATAACATCGGAGATCTCTGTCCAGAAGAGCGCAGTCCTGGGAACAGCTAAGATACTGCGCAGGACCCTCAAGCTCCCAGGCCTCTGGTAGAGGACCCGAGCTTGAAGGATAAACCGCCCGCAGGGGCGTGCTGGGTGTTTATATATATATATATATATATATATATATATATATATATATATAATATATATATATATATATATATATATATATATATATATATATATATAATATAATATATATATATATTTTTATATATATATATATATATACATATATATATATATACAAGTTCAGAGCCGCGGACCTTCAGTAATAGTAATAAATCACATTCATGTAGTTGTAAACAGCATGATAATATATTAAGTAATCCAAATACTCTTATTGAGTAACGTAACGGAATACATTACAAAATACATTTTGGGGCATATATTCTGTAATCTGTAGTGGAATACATTTTAAAAGTAACCTTCCCAACACTGCCTACATGTGATTTTCTGTTAAAATGACAGAAAATGTTATTTTCAGAAATAATAATATACATGAAACAGCAACAATCTGAGTAAAAAGAAATGACATCTCACTCTTAGAATGAAGGACCTCACTGTTAAAGTTTGATTAAAAAGCTTGTGAAAAGGTTACACTTTTCACAAGTTCTTGAGCTTAAAAGAATCTTGCGGGAAAAACAGTTCTTTTATTATAGCAATGTACGCCTTTACTCACTGTAATGCACAATGAATTTATGAACATCCTTCACAGTGTAATCTGAGATAGAGAGCTTTAAATAAATTTCTCTGCAAAAGTTCTGACAATCTGCTTCAGGCATAAAAACTTGTCTAACGGAGGGTTCCATCCAGAAAATAACAGTAATCACAGGTTTAGTATTGTTTATCAGAGGTCCCGCTCCCTTCTTAGAGTGTCACAGATATAGACTTTTGATTCTTATTTGAGCAGCACCTGGTAATCTGTCTCTATAGCAAAAACGATCACATCCTTATATCTGGTGTAGATAACGGTACAGATTGTTTACTGCAAGAGAAAACACCAATTTTTCTATAACGAGCCACACAGACATCAATTTCTTGGGGTCAGCTGCAATTTTCAGGCAATATCATCGTTGCAATAGGATGCTCTAAGTCTCATACCCACATAAAGCCATGTGGCGGTTGAGTTCACTTGAATCAGAACAATGTATGCACACTCCAAGAAACAAAACACTCCACATATAGTAAGAGTGGAAGGCAGAGTCAAAATCTTCAACATGCAGGGGCTCCAAAAGGTCTTTTCTGGTTCAGAGAATCTTTGAAGAGATCTTTGATGTGATCACCAGTTAAAAACAGTCTGCTCAGTTTTTCCCCATAGGTCTAATTAAGTGGTTATTACATTTCAGGGTTATGATACATAAAATAAATAATTTCTTATGAAGTTAAAATGTATCATTTATACATAAGACCCGAATCACACTGTAGAAATGACTGGAAGCAGATTCTACCCACGCAATTAAACATTAGAATCATCCAATAAAGAACTTATGAGAAACATGCAGTATTTATATGAGTGTAACAGCCAGGATTAAATTACCCCTGTCTATCGTGACATGTCAAAACTATTGCGTGGAAGAAAAAAGAATATTTTGCCAGCAGAATGATAAAGCATCATGCATCATTTTTTGAATCATTTTTTTTAAATTCAATTGCAGAATTGGTAAGTAAATTAAATACGGCAACATACGGTAGCCATCTCATATCCATATAGCAGCACATATGTTTAAAATGTATTTTTAAAACAAAGAAATGAGAATGTATGCATGAGCACACATAAATCAAACTGCACTGTGTATTAAAAGTTCATCTGTGGATTATGCATTAATGAATTAGTAGATTTTGGACTGTTAATTGATGGAAGATTAGACTAGCAAACAGAAACAAATAATTAATTGTAAATTATTTTAGCATGATGTTTTCTTTTTTCATTCACGATTATGAAATGAAAAAAGAAAACATCAAAGTGTGACTTTTTGTTCAGCTGATTGAATGAAATATTAGCTTAATATAATATTATGGCCGGTGGTTGTCTGATCTCTTTAAACAAATATATCCAATGAGTGTGACCTAATATGATAAGATGATAATTGCACTACAATCAGGCAAATAGCTATTTTTGTGATATATGGCTATAAATTAAGAGTCGGAGAGCATATCTGAGAAGTCCATAGTATAAATAGTGTTTTTAGGCTCAATGGTCCTGTTGACCATTAACATCTGTTATCTTCTAGCTCAGCTTATAGCAGAGGAGGGACAAGAGTGAAGGTGAAGGGCCCAAATGAGACTGGAAACACAAGGTAAGTTTAAATGTATATACTCTGACCACAGGCAATGATTGTACACCATACATCTTTAATAATGTTAAAAATCAGAAATGGATGCACACGTTTCAATTTATTTTAGGTTTTTTTTTTATCCACAAAGTTTAAAGAATTATACATACAGGTTGTTGCCAGTTGTTCTGGTATATTGTGCAAAGTGAATGAAATAATGAAAAAAGAAAACTAGCTCCAAATTTTTCAAATTCACCTCAAACCAATAGGTAGACCAGGGGTGGGCAGTCTCAGTCCACGAGGGCCGGTGTCCCTGCAGGTTTTAGATCTCACCTTGGGGAAACTCACCTGAATCACATGATTAGTTCGTTACCAGGCCTCTGGAGAACTTCAGGACATGTTGAGGAGCTAATCTATCCATTTAAATCAGCTCTGTTGGTTCGAGGACACATCTAAAACCTGCAGGGACACCGGCCCTCGTGGACTGAGATTGCCCACCCCTGAGCTAGACCATTGAAACTTGGATATTGGATCTTGTCCAATTGTCCAACAGGACAATGATCCCAAACAGACATCTGAACTGGTTTCAGAATGGATAAAGCTACTGTTATAGTTTTCTGGTTATGATGTCCTTGAAGTCTGTTCCTCTTCTGTGTAGAGGGCCAGGGTCGGTTGAGCTCCTTCTCCTCCCTCTGGGGCAGAGCTCAATCATCATTATGCTGCCAGATATACCGGTTCCTCATCAGATCTGAATTAATTCCCAGTACTAAAGGACCAGTCGGTGCTTCCAGAATCTGCCAGATAGTCTGCTTCTACCAAGCATTATCCTTGTCGGGCTCAAGAGCCAGTACACTACCTGTCCCTTTGAATTAGTCCACTCACTATGCTCTGTCTCTGGGTACCCCCACTTGGACAACCTCCCAGCAACAAGTAGGAGAATCACTATGACACCATCCGTTAAACTCCCTGAAGAAGAAGGTAAAAACAAGGAAAACTGTGACTCTTATCGCCCAATCTCTATCTTAAATGTGGATTATAAATTATTTACATCCATAATCACAAGACGCTTAGAGCTATTTCTCCCAGATCTGGTGGATGAAGACCAGACACGGTTCATTAAGGGGCGACAGACACAAGATAATATACGACACACATTGCATATAATTAACGAAGTTAATAAAGAGAAAATCCCAACAGCCTTAGTGAGCTTAGATGCTGAAAAGGCCTTTGATAGAGTCTCTTGGATATTTCTTTTTGCTGTTTTGAAAAGAATGGGCTTTAACAGTACCTTCATCGAGTGTAATCCTTTTACCACAGGCCATTGGCTAGAGTTAAAATGAATGGGGACCTGACAGACAGTTTTGAGCTCTTCAGAGGAACCAGGCAGGGTTGCTGCCTGAGTCCAGCCCTTTTTGCTCTGTATATCGAACCTCTGGCTCAGTATATACGGCAAAGTGCAGACTTAAAAGGGGTTTTAGTTTCTAAAATTGAACAATGAATAGGTCTCTTTGCTGATGATATAATTATATATCTACAGGATCCTGACACGACCTTTCCTCGGTTGATTAAAGCATTAAAATATTCAAAACAAATATAAATTAAAATGGGATTCAAATAAGATCACATATTTAGGTGTCTATCTAACTAGCGAAATAAGTACACTATACGAGGCAAATTGTGTAAAGATTAGTAATACAATCCAAAAAGATTTGATTAAATGGGCTCCACTTGTCATGGACCTTAGCTCAAGAATAGAGGTAATAAAAATGAATGTGCTTCCTTGACTACTGTATCTATTCACTTCATTGCCAGTCCATATACCAGATGCACAATTTGGTAGATGGGATAAATTAGTTAGTAGATTTATTTGGAAAGGGACAAAGCCAAGAATAAGATTTAAAATACTCCAATTAAGAAAAGAAAAAGGAGGACTTGCCCTCCCGAATTTCAAGGAATATTTCTATGCAGCCCAGCTGAGATATATTGTTTACTGGTGTTCACCGGATTACACCTCAAAATGGAAGCATATGGAGATAAATTATTGCTTATCATGTCATCCACAAGCAAGATTGGGAGAAGAAACTATCCAGTCTACGAACACAAATCTCATTACTGAATTCACTATTAAACTCTGGTGGATTATAGTGAAGAAATATAGAATTATAGAAGACTGTAAATTGCTGATTTGGCCTGCATATTCTCGAAAATTCCAAAGTGGACAATGGGATAGTACATTTTTAAGATGGGTCAATAAAGGAATTACAGCAATGTGTACATTAATAGACGGGACAACATTCAAATCCTTCGAGAATCTACAGAGACAATTTGGACTGGATAAATCAGATTTATTTAGGTATTTTCAATTAAGACATTTTTACAATACAGAAATTAGGAAGAAGTTCTTGAGAGAAGGAAGCCATATAATAGAAATAATAACAGGTGCATATAAAAATCCTCCATCAAGAATTTTATCGAAATTATATAATGGCCTGCAAAATTTGAATAGGAATGAAACATTATATATCAAACAAAAGTGGGAATCTGAATTACATCTTGAGTTGTCAGAGGATGACTGGCGATCCGTATGTCTCACACAGCATAATTCCACCAGCTCTAGACGATGGAGAGAATATGGCTGGAAAAATGTGATTAGGTTCTTTATTACTCCTTATATCAAAAGCAAGCAGCTGAAAACACCCCAACAATGCTGGAGATTATGTGGAGACTGGGACGCCAATCATTCTCATGTGTTTTGGAAGTGTAAAAATATCAAACCTTACTGGGAAAGCATTGCAGTAACAATGAAGAAAGTGCTGGGGTATGACGTGCTGTGTGAGGCACGAGTAATGTATTTTGGAATATGGGAAAATGTAAGAAAGGAGGACCATTACTTGTTTAAAATTATGTTGTTGTCAAGCAAAAAGGTAATAACAAAAAACTGGCTGAAAAGTGACCCTTTAAAATTGGAAGAATGGACTGATGTAATCAAGGACATATATATAATGGAGAAAATGACTTACACTTTGAGACTGAAATCTGACAAACACCGAAAACAGTGGACAAAATGGATAGCCTATAAGACTCACTCAGCCACATAAGGCAGGGACCTCTCCTTGTTGTTGTCTTTTTCTCTCTTCCACAGATTAGGTGTCCTTTATTCCTTTTAGTTTGTTTCTTTTGTGTTCCTTTTTCATATTTTTGTTTGCATGTACTATAAAATTGGAAAAAAGTACAAAATAAAAGGTTTAAAAAAACAAAACAAACTCCCTGCATCTCCCTTGAAGGACTGAACTAACTTCTCTCTCCTCTCTCTCCCTAGCTGAATCCTCTCCATGAAACCAGCATCCTGTTCAATTCCCCCTCTGGCCATCCTTTCCCCAGTGCTTCCGTTGAATTAATGAAGTCCAGAAACCTGTACCACTGTCCATATCATGTATGCTTCAGAAACCTCCACTATGACAGTACCTTCATATTAAACTTCTGGAATGGCCTCAACCTTATTGAAATTTTTTTGATTTAAAAGCAGGATTGGTGCCAGGATACTAACCATTTAAATAAATTCTACCAGTTCTGCCAAAAAAGGGTCAAATATCCAGCCAGTTTTGCCAGAAGCTTGCTGTTGGCTACTGAAAGCAAGCAGTTGAGATGAAACTTGCTAAAGGACATTTAATCAAATTTTAGTGTATATTTGAGACTGTAATCTAGACCCTGTGTGGAAAATTCAGAGTAAATTCAAACGTTAATACCCATTTCCTGTTTGTTTGTTTTTAAATGATCAGAGATGTATGCTGTACAATCATTCCAGGAAAAGGAACAGTGTAAAGAAATCATTAAATGTCTGACTATGACTAAATGTAAGGCTAAATGAGAAATTATACTAAGTACATGCCATTATATGTTATCACTTTAATAATGTATTAGAGTACTAGTCCTCTTTACAGAAATTTATAATAACAATGAAACTTGTCACACTTTCTTTAACATAAACGATGTATTGTAATACTAATACTTAATTTCCATAATTTAAATTAGATACTTAAAAATGGTTGCACAGTCATTTCTAACTTCCCGTCTTCTCTCTTCTGATTCTTTTCCCTCTCAGTACAGGAACCACAGGAGGATGCAGCTCAAAGAGTCACTGCAGTGAGACAGCATCCTCCCTCTGAGTCTCATCTCCCTCAGTTTTTCAGGTGTTAGCCACTTTTATTCTTAATAAACCAAAGATATGCTTATGCCTGGTCTTTGTGGTGCTTTATTTATGCATTTGTTGTTGGTCATATGCATAGTTATAGTTAAGATTGGCTTTAAATTAAGCCAACTGTTGGTGTCAGTGGTCTGACTACACATGTATACTTTTATCTCTGAGTGCTGAATCCATGTGCAGCACAACACACAACAGCGGAGACCGGTGATTTCGTCTTTTTGGTGTTTTACTTTGGAAATCGCAACCGGAATACGCGTACAGTCATACTCACTGATCTTCTGTTCTACTTCTACCTTTGTATCTATTATTTTGTATCTGTTATTTTTGTTTTGCCAGTCATAATTACATAAACACTGTTTGTTTTTAAAACCGCGTGAGAGTAACATAGACCGTAATCAGCCGGCTTTTATTTTGAATTTAGTAATCGGAAGTCGTAAGTCTTTCCCATTCATCCCGTGCAACCTGCTCCAGTGCACCGGTCGGATTTAGCTAGCATCGCTAGACTTAGTGTTGATTTTTATTAAAACATGTCTTACCCAACACCATCCGACAAGCCTTCAAACCCAGAAAACCCCCGCGTCTTCTTGGACGTAGACATTGATGGGGAGAGAGGTCAGGACATCTGAAATCGACTGTTGTTTAACATCTATTTGCGCCACTTTAAGCCTTAGCTTTGTTAGCTTAGCACCATCCTGGCACGTTCTAGTGACTTCTAGAAACTGATTTATATACCACATGCCAAAGACGCTATCAACTAGAAATAAACCAAGCTGTAAATTACACGTGTTTGTCCATTTAAGAGCATTAAGGCAAATTAAAACGTTTTGTGAGCCAGTTTTGTGAGTGTATGCACCACGTGTGCTTTTGTCGAGTGTTACCATATTCTTATAAGTGAAACATGAAAGGTTAAAAGAGGAACGAGTACACAGTCTATTGTATTATAATTATAAGTTTGGGTCACTTAAAATGTTTTCAATCTTATTATTTCAATTTACCTAAACAATGATGATTTTTCAATATAGAAACCGACGCTTGATAACATAGTCCAGATTAATATCATTGGTGTTGTAACTGATTAAACCGAGCTGCTTTCTGTCCTCAGCTGGCCGAATTGTTCTCGAGCTGTTTGCTGACATAACCCCAAAGACTGCTGAAAACTTCCGGGCTCTGTGCACTGGAGAAAAGGGCACTGGCAAATCGACTGGGAAACCACTGCACTTCAAAGGATGCCCGTTTCATAGAAGTAAATAGACTTCTTAACTTTGGAAGGAGAGTTTGAAGATGAATAGCTGAGTAGTTGAAAGGACATCCAGGGTAGCGAAGCATTTGGAGAATATATCGTTTATTGAATATTCAGTACATTTCCTGGGAGAAAATCCCAAGTCTTGGCATAATCAGTGGCTTGGAAACTAGGGCTATGAGTACTATTTTTTTTTTTAAACTGAGTTTAAATAATACTGCTTGCATGGCTAAATTTAATATAGACAAGTAAAAGATAATAAATATATAATGTTAATGCCTACAGTTTACAAATTTACACAAAGTGTAAATGAATTGTTTTTTGCTCACACAAATGATCTCTCTTAATAGTTGTGCGACAAAGCAGTTAATATGCAGAGTAAGTACCTGGATTCTTTTGGGATTGTTGAGCCCTTGAGAGTTCAATTTTAATAATAAGAAGCCTGGAACAGTGTTAATATTAAGTTTGTTTATTATAGGAAAAGTAATGTGGCTGTAAATTTATTCTTGCCAGTCATCAAGAAGTTTATGATCCAAGGAGGCGACTTCTCAAACCATAATGGCACAGGGGGTGAAAGCATCTATGGGGAGAAGTTTGAGGATGAAAACTTCCACTACAAGGTACACGACCTATCACCAGGACTGCAAATTTGTAGCCATTTTCACACATGCACTGCAGCTCCAAACTTTTCTAGGACTTGCCCAACAGAAGTGCATGAGAGAACATTATCCAGTCTTTAACCTGCCAGCTCTCAGTTACAGAGTATGTGTAATGTTGGATTGCAGCAAAGGACTGTTACGACTTTCATCCGTAAATAAAGCCGCGGCCGGCTGAGTTGGTTGTGTCCCTGTGACGCGCCTCCAATAATCCATAATGAGTCGTACTTGTACTTTGTGCATTTATTTTAAGAACAAAACAAAAACAAACATTTGCGCTTTCAATCAATTTACAAATAGCGCATGGATTAACTGGTGTGCCAAAAAATGACGGTCAACAGAAAAGTTTGCCCACAAACCACTCACCAAACACCTGCTGCGAACACCGACATTGGGTAAATAGACGGTGACCACACCCACATACCATCACCTGAGACGCAGGTAAAGCTATACACCTGTGCCACCAAAACAAAAAGGAAAAACATAAACATTGACTTTGGCTCTTACAAGGACAAATAGACATAAGATAAGAACTCTTTATTGTCATTGCACAGTCATACATAGTACAGTAGTACAATGAAATTGGAAAACTGTCCTACGTCGGCACTACATGTAACACAACACGATACGACACATCACAACGCAACACAAACAACACAACACAGTATAATAACTTAGTAATAAAAAAGAAGAATAGTGTATTTGTATTGCACACTGTTATTATTGCACATTAATTATTATTGCACCTTGTTATAAATATTATTATTTTTTGCATTGATCAGGGCTATTGCCCTGTTGTAAAAGCTGTCCTTGAGTGTGTTGAGTGTGTGTTGCCTCCTGCGCACTATTTCCTGGCATTTAGCCACCTGAATTCAGCAAGACATAAGTAAATGTTGCTTTATACATAGTATAAAGCTGGTAGAAAAGGTAAAATTCATTGACTGGATTTAATCAGCATCTGTAGCTTAAATTGAAATTAATATCCGCTACCTTTAGTGTAACTTAACCCGTACCATTGTGACATAACATGTATTACTGTAAACTTCACCACATTGTGGCAAACTGCCCAGTGCAGTATTTTTATGCAATTTGAATAACACAAAGTTAGCTTGTTTTGCAAGTCTTTAAAAAAAAAACATGGTTGAGCAACACATGATGTATAGATCCCATATCTGGTTTAAAAGCTCTAGGAGGTCACATGTAATAGAGCAAATTTCCAACTTGTTGAACAATTCTTACCTTTAAAAATAATCTTATCTTCCCCTCCTGCTCTCTCGTTTTACATCTTTACACATCTCTGAGTGTTCCACATAAACATTTTTTCTCTTCCTGGGAAATCACAGATGAGATCACAGAAACACTTTGTGTACTTGTAATGACCTCCCACCTAAAAACATCTAAATGTTACTTTATATTTCTCGTCTCTTGTAGCTAATTAGATGTTGAATAGTGACTGCAGTTTTATTTATTTATTTTTATTTACATCTACTTCATGCATGCATCACAGGGGATGTAAGGGCTATGTGGGATGTCGTTATGTTTGAGCAAGTGAAGCAACGCCAGGCTACAGCACATGAAAAATGACCTCATTCAGCAGTAATGCCAACAGTAATGCAGGTTTAATTACTTGTGAAGCGAAGGTGCCGAAATGCCGTTCCAGATCGTTTCCGGCCTGCTTTAACCCCTCCTCGTGCCACACGTGAGAAAGGAGAACAGTAGAAATAATCCGAACCTGATTCTCTTGAAATTGTCGGATGCTCATGTGATTCTACATCAGGCGATTTTAAAGAGTTAGCTGAATTTCCTCATGCGCCACGTTGATTTGTGAAGTTCTATCATTTTAAAAATGAAATGCTTGGCTTGGATGTTTGTGCCCTTAGTGCTTCTTGTCTTTCTTTTGCCTTCATTATCTACTGAAGCAAAGCAAAGAAATTCAAAGTTACTCAGAAACGATGGCTATGTTTATGGCTCATGTTTGATGTTCCAGCTGCTTTATCCAACGTATTTTCTTTCTCCATGTAGCATAGCAAAGTGGGTCTTCTGAGCATGGCTAACGCAGGGCCAAACACCAACGGCTCGCAGTTCTTCATCACAACTGTCCCCACGCCGCACTTAGACGGAAAGCATGTGGTCTTTGGACAAGTGTTGAAAGGGATCGGAGTGGTAAAAATGCTGGAATGCATTGATACTACAGATGATGCCCCTGTGAAGGTAAATGAGTCTTTACTGACATTTACTATTTAACCAAGATAACACCTGCTCTTAGAAGTTATTGATACCAATCTGCCCATTATTTTTCTTTCGTGTTAAGGCCAAAACACATTTGGTCTGTTAAGCTATCTTAAAGTTTCTGCTAACATCTGCATTTGCAGCCATGCATCATAGCTGACTGTGGTGAGCATAAGGATGGGGACAGCTGGGGCGCTGCACCAAGTGATGGAACAGGAGATGCCCACCCAGACTTCCCCGAGGACTCCGACATCGACTTTAAAGATGTACGTATCAGCGCTGTCTTTGATCTTCAAGGACTCGGGTTGGCAGATAACTGCTCTGCAAGGAGCACTGTGGCATTTTTTTTAATATGCTTGTTTGCTGGCTCATCCAAAGCCAAATGAGAGTGTGGATTAAAAAAAAAAATCAATATCACAAATCCAGGTCATGTTTAGTCTGGTAAATAATGGAAGCAGGGGGAAAAGTGTTCCCAGTAATAATGAGTCAAGATTATTACTGAGGTCATTGTTGTGCATGTTATCAATGTTATCAATTTTACTTTGAAATAAAGTAGTTTAGAAATTCTGGAGATTAGACTTTGTGTTTGTAATGTTAGCAATGTCTCCTTCTCCTTGTTCTTACATAAGCAAGAGGAATGATGGCAAAAACTGCAAATTAAGATCAAAGGTTCCAGTTTCACTTTGGCCTGTGCTTCTTTTCAGATGGAGAAAGTTCTGTCTGTTGCTGAAAATGTGAAGAATATTGGAAACAACCTTTTTAAGTCTCAAGACTGGAAAGGCGCGGTCCAAAAATATAGTAAAGCGCTCAGGTAAGGTGGTTTTGATTTACTTGCAGTCATAATCACCTTGACTTAAAGAGAAGTCACTTTGAAAAGATATTCCACAGGAATTAAATATTACTCCCAGTAACCCAGAGATGATTTTCATCTGTCAAAGTGCTCTGTGAGGATTGTTGTGGTGTATAAGCCTGATTTTCAAACAAAGGAAACGGTAGCAAAGAATAATTCCAAAAGCTAACAAATGATCTTTTTATGTTCATAGGTACTTGAAGGTGTGTGGGGAACAAGTGGAAGAGGAGGCACAGAAGAAGCTGGAGCCCACAGCCCTCAGCTGCTATCTCAACACAGCAGCCTGCAAACTGAAGATGCAGCTGTGGCAGGAAGCTCTGGACAGCTGCAATCAGGTGACATGAGCTGGAACAAAGCAGACTGTAGCACATATCACAGATTCAGCCGAGTGCTCCTGTGTGGCTGTTAGGGTTTACCGCTGGTGAACTTATCAGGCTTCACATGCTAAGCTTATGTCCTCTTACCTAAGATATCAATCAGTACCCAGTTTTTGTTGCTGAAGATAGCACCCACGAGTGCTTAGCCTGATTCTGTCTACAGAGGCTAAAATCTGTCTACCAGCACCTTTAACAAACTTTGGGACTTGTCATCAGTCTGGAGTTACAAAGGAAATAAAAGAATTTGTCAAACCGATTATATATTCCTTGTAGATTACATGCATTTTAGGGGGGAAAAAGTGTCTATTTAGTCTCTTTGATGTTTTATTTCAGTCTACTTCAAAAAATCATGTGGAAATCTTTTAGATTCTGTGAAATGTGACCTTAAAATTTTATCAAATCATCCAAAGAATCATTTTTCTTGTCTTACAGGCTCTGGAGCTGAGTGAAGGAAACACTAAGGCACTTTTCCGCAGGGCTCAGGCCTGGCAGGGGTTAAAGGAATATAACAAAGCCATGGTAATGTCTACAGAACAGCCTCTTGTGTTAGAGACTGTACAACCCAGCAGCACAACATGAACACACTGCCTTTTATATGTCAGTTATCTAGTAGATTCTCCTGTAAACAATTGCAGTGAAAATTAAATATGAAGTTTAGCATTTCGCAATTTGGCATTAACATTAAAAATATTTTAAATCAATTAGCAGAACTGATTTTAACTAATTATTTTTATTGTGCTTCTAACTCGATAGTCTGATCTGAAGAAAGCTCAGGAAACTGCTCCAGAGGATAAAGGTAAGGTCTGCAGTGGTTTTGTTTTAACTAAAGTCTTGGTTTGATTTGTCCTCATAGCAAGAATACACCAAGTTTATGATCAGTGGTTTTTGATCAATAGTTGTTGGTCAGTGGTCATGGGAATTTGCATATTAGTGATCAAGGAACTGACCTCACAGCCCATTGTTCATTCAGTGGGCTAGTTCCAGTCACTGTGCAATGTACTGTTTATAAGATTGGGGAAACCTGCAAGTCAGCTGAGTCTGAAGAAGGTTCAAGGTTCTTTATTTGTCACATGCATAGTTATACAAGTATAACACACAGTGAAATGTAACCTGACACGCTCCTCGACATGTGCAAAAATGGGGGGTAGAGGAAGAACATTATATATATATATATATATATATATACATACATACATACATACATACATACATACATTGGGTGAGTGTGCAGTAGTAGCGGCAGGAACGTTTCTCCCACTGAAAACGCTACGTCCGGATGAACAGAATCGAACTTTTGGGACACTAAGTTTATGTTTTATTTTTCAATATATGTTCGTGTTATTCAAACTTAGCAAAGAGGTCATAGTCCTGCTGGAGAAAGACAGTAGTTTTTCCCCAAAAGATTTCTGTTCCTCTTAATTGGACTTTTAACAGAAAATGAAAAAGTATGGTTCCCTGAAAGGTCAACTACAACACACCAATGAATCAGTTTCTTTAATGGTTGGATTTTGCATAGCTAGTAGGAAAATAGGATGCTGTAAGAGGGAGGAGGGAGTGTTCAAGGAACCACATCCTCACTATGTACGTTTAAGTGTGCTGGGTGCATCAGGCTCACTGCAAAAATGCAGCTTTTTGACAGTGTTTCCTAGCCCTTTTGATATGTTAAGCTTCAGTTCATTGGCTGCAGGCTAGAAGATAAGAGCTATCAGTGTGCTTCATGCTCTCTCTGTGCCTTTAGGAGCAGGCTGTCTTTTTAAACTCTCTAGCCGGGCAAAAAGTGGATGTATGGGAACTAAAACTTGCTCTGAAAACTGGATATTTGAGGGGAAATGTTAATAGAAACTAGAACCGATCTATAAAATTTCAAATCTCTTCTTTTTCACAGCAATCACCAATGAATTGAAGAAAGTCCATCTTAAAATCCAGGAGGAGAAAGAGAGAGAGAAGAAAATCTATGCCAAAATGTTTGCCTAAACTATCTGACCTCATGATGCAATTGGCTGTCATTATTTACAGTGGAAGCTGTACCCACAGATAAGGAGTGTATCCAGGTGAAAATGTTCAGTATTTTCATTTCATGGGTCCTCTCATGTTTTTACACCATGCACATTTCTTAATGTCTGTAAGCTTGGACCTGCCTTTACTGTAATGAATATCGTGAACATCGGTCTGATTGCACCGTGCTGGAAAACCAACTCATGTTGGTGGTTTGAAGATTAGCAAAGCAATTTTGTGTGTGTGTTATTCCATGGTAGGAATTTTAAGAGTGCTCTTGGCTACAAGCAGGATATCCATTTGTGTTTATTTATGGTGTTTTTTGTGTTTATTTTTTTAAACTGAGGTCAATAAAACAAAAGGGACAACCGTCAAGTTTCTTTATTAGTACTGGGACATTATCATAATATATACAATACTGTATATACCACCAGTAGTGCTGATATGAACCTGAGGTGATCATATATACACTATTACAATTGGTCAAGTACTTCTTAAAAACAAAACACTTTAAAATGCCTCCAAAGCAGCAAAAACTGCAAATTCTGACTTCAGTTTTACACGGCCTTGCAAAACAATTTCTCCAACACCAAGTTTTTAAACATCCTTTGTCCTTTTTTGTACCCTCAAATAACTACATAGTTACTTCAGCTCTATATACACTCAGGCACATTTTCCATACTCAAGTAATCTTTCAACACAAAAAGCAGAAAAACACCCAAGATGGTCACATTCCATTGTAGGCTGGTCCGCCACCACCCTCGGGCACAACCCAGTTGATGTTCTGGCTCGGGTCCTTGATGTCACAGGTCTTACAGTGGACACAGTTCTGAGCATTAATCTGCAACCTCATCCCATCACCTGTGTCCAGGGGAACATACTCGTACACACCTGAGTGTTTGTGGGTGAGAGAGTAAACGAGTTAGAAAACAGACCCAGAAGAAAAGCTGCTTGAATGGCGTAATGACATGATTATCTATGTGAGATACTTTTTATATCAAATCCTTACATGGATACTGAGGAGTTCTTCCTTTTATAGTTTCTGTTATGGTTGCTGCACTGATAGTTTTCTGTCTAGGTGCTTGCTTTTACTCCTCTGACAGCATGTTTGGGATCACTGTCATCCTGAATAAAGAAGCCGTTGTTACATTCTTTCCAGATGGAGGATCAAAATCTGACAGTACATGTCTGCATTCACAATTTCATCAGTTTTGACAGGATCCCCAAATGTGACAGATGGCTCTAGACACTGTTGTACTCTCTCCTGACCTCCCCTGTATATATTGACAATCATTAAGACTGGTTGCCACTAATTTTTTCAGTCCAGTGTTTGTGTAATCCGGCATCTTTCAGCCTTTTCTTCTACTAAGGCTTCAGCAAACAGTCCATGGATAAACTGAAGGACCAGATGTGTCTTTCAGGTCTGCATATTATTTCCTATTTCTTAACACTAGAACAGACTAGAACAGACCCCCTTGCATTTTAAAAATCTTGTGAAAGTTGAAATAAAACACCAACACTTATATTTTATGACTTTTCCTAAAATGTGTCCATTCAGTGAATGTGATGAGGTCAATTATAAACTATTTATGGGCAATAACTAGTTCAGTATGTTTTTACAGTGAGACTGTTTTTATGCCTTTTTTATTTTAGCCTAAGTAAGACCAGCCATTATCCATTATGCTAGGTATTGTAGCAGCTGGATAGCGTAGTGATAAGACTACATGCCTTGGGTTTGGGAGTGGGAGTTTGATTCCCACCTGGGGGTGTCTGTATCCAGTAGTCCTAGATCCCCCACCCCAGACATGAGTGAGATAAATATGAGGATCCAGAGTGCTACGGCAAGGGGGAGCCAGGCCGACAGGTCAAAGGGGGAGATCTCGTCACCCCAAATGCGATAGAAGAAAGGATTGTTGAGTGTGGGAGTAACTGATCTACACTACGGCGGCAGCCTACAGCATACATCATTTGGACTGTGGAAGTGTAGTTGGATGATAGCAAAGAGCGCACTATTTGGCATTTAAGTTCATCCCTTGAGTTTGCACGAATGACTCACGGGTCAGTTTAAAGTTGCTTTCTGAAAATAGTCAAGTCATTATGTCTGCTTCAGGTCTTTCTTTTAATGGTTGCCCCACCTGCAGGCAAAATGTCTTAATGTTGCGGGTTTTTATTTTCATAAGTTTTCATAAATTATAAATCTTTTTAATGTAGGAAGAACCATTAGCTAAAATTGGTCATTTTTTTTCACTCATTAAAAGAATGTTTTGTTTCTACCACAAAGGTTAACAAGATGAAATAATGAGAGTAAAAGTTGATAGTTTAATCAGCTTTTCATCTAATTTTCCCCATCTCCTAGTTACATTACTGCTCCCTGCTTTAATTTTAATAGCACATAGACCTAACTATTACCAAACCCTATAAAGCCCAGTGCTAGACTCCAGCCCCACTTCTACTCTGAACGACGTGGAAGATGATGGATGGGTGGATGATAAAGACCAAAGGTGCACACAGTGATGGTAAAAGTTGTAGATTTTTTTAAAAACCATATTCCTAATGCGTGCTTGCAAAATTAGTTAGACTAATCATGGTTAATGAGTGTTTGTGCCCAGATGAATATAGGCTGTGGTAAATATAATAATTTAAGCTTCCAAACAACAGCCTGAAACTGGTAATGATGAGTGCAGGGCAAAACCTAACAGTGCTTCTGTAACTACATTTTAAATTTTAAACATGTAGCAGGTTCTAGATTTTGTGGCCTTATTATATGGAACAGTGTAAGCCTGACTGATTATACTCCAAACATAGTTGTGATTAAAAAAATACAAAAAAACAAAACAACCTCAAGGATAGTTTATAGGCTGTAAGGTTGGAGGCAAGTAATAGATTTAAGCTGTGTTAGTTCTCTGCTGCTTTTCGCCAGCCAACCCTGGTATTCCCATAACTATTAAAAAAACCATTTGGACCTTGCTGACCTAAAGCTGCACTGTGTACAGGGGTATTAATGTAACTGCTGGCCTTTCTCCCATGCTCTTGCGTCTGTGGGTCTCAACTTGTGCTGCATTTTGCTTCTCGTAGACCTCACATCACTAAGTTTCAGTTTCCAGAGAATTCAAATGGAGCCACAGTCTGAGAGACAGAATAATGAGTTTAGCTTAACTTAAATAGAGATAAACACAAAGAACCTGAGCCTGTCTACCTGGCTTAAACAAACTCACTCATACCCTAAACCTACTGATAATAATGCCATTACATTTGTTGTGAGATTTGGTTTTAAATGGAGGCTGAAGCTTTTAAAAACAAGAAAATGTTACTCATTACCACAGAGACACCCAGGAATGCTGGCCTCAACTCGCTCTCTTTTTTTAAAATACTTAGCTTGCTTGCAACATTGCCTGGTGTGTATGCAAAACCTACGGTACCTATAGAAATTTACAGTCTGTCAGTTTTTGCAAATGACCTTAAAATATTTTTGGGGAAGAAAAAGAAAATCAGGATACAAGATTTTTGACAGCCTCCTTTTTCCACATGTAGCACGCAGAAGGAATTGGTAAACTTGGGTGTGTTTTTTTTTTTTTTTTTTTAAATCCTATGGTTAAGGTGTGGAAGTTTCCTGGAAAGAAATTGTAAGAAGCAGCAAACAAGTGGACATAATATTAGCTGCTACTTTTGCACATCACCGCAATGTGACACCACACAGGCATTCACCTAATATCTGAGCTTACTGCACCCAACATTTGTGCCATTAAAGCCTGCATATGTCAAAATAGCTTAAGTTCTCAATAAGACATTAACCCATCAGAACATCTTCAATGAGCCTTGGAATTGAATGTACAACTCTCATGAACTATATTGCAGTGATGTACTACCAGACTTTGCTTCATTTGCTGTTTTAATCATTGTGGGTAGTGCTTCATAATTCACCGGTCCAAAATCTCCTAAAGGTATTCAACTGTGTTCAAGATCTATTGAGTAGGATGCTCACAGGAATAGTTACATAATTTTCAGACTAGTAAAACCAGGATAGAGATGTTTTACTTTAAGACAAAGGTGATAAATTCAGAACAATGTTTTATTGATTAGGAGAGACTCTTCCTTGGAGGGTAAAAGAGGGGCCGGAATCCCTTATTTAGAGGTCTCCATTGTTAATAATTCAAAGGAAGAGGTTATAGTGGGGCTGAAGCTTATGCTTGCTTAAGTCAAGTGAAAGGCACGGCTAAAACAGAGAGACATTCACATCATCTTTGAATTAAGCGATCGTGGCTCAAGAGTTGGGAGGTCGCCTTGTAATCGGAAGGTTGCCGGTTCAAGCCCCGGCTTGGACAGTCTCGGTCGTTGTGTCCTTGGGCAAGACACTTCACCCGTTGCCTACTGGTGGTGGTCAGAGGGCCCGGTGGCGCCAGTGTCCGGCAGCCTCGCCTCTGTCAGTGCGCCCCAGGGTGGCTGTGGCTACAATGTAGCTTGCCATCACCAGTGTGTGAATGTGTGTGTGAATGGGTGGATGACTGGATATGTAAAGCGCTTTGGGGTCCTTAAGGACTAGTAAAGCGCTATATAAATACAGGCCATTTACCATTTAATGTAACAGGAGCGAAACCAACAAAAACTTACAGGAGAACATAAAAACTCTCAAAAGCCCCCAACCAAACTGGACGTTTCAATCTAGTGAGGTAACAATGCTAACTAGTACATGTGTGCTCCATGTTTGGTGAAACAACTACACATAACTGGTTTAAGAGAACACTAAATGAGAGCAATTATGATAAAGCATTGACCATTTAACACATAAAAGAACTAAATCATTGCTGGTTCCAGTTTTCAGGTGCAAGTGTTTGCTTTGCTTTTCTGAACAGACTGAATGTCAAGGTGACTATTATGTTTAAACTACAATGATTAGATTATGTAACTCTGTCCTCTAAGCACATTGCTTCTGTGTTACTAATGTTAACATGCCCTGTTTAATTTGATGTGGATATGTATGCAAGAACTCACTTTTCACCTTCTTACTTTACTATGTGGAAAACATGTTGCAATTCTCTTTAGGGACTGTAGTGGCGTTACCTGCGGGGCAGAAACGTTGCTCGGGTCCATCATAAATACCCAAGTTCCTGGCAACCGGGATGCTGTCATCTTTTAAGGTAAGATGTGGGGGCTGGTCCCCCTCGTGGTTGGTCCCACTCAACGCCACAGAGGAGAGCAGGTCAAAGCTTATCTTGCCGTCAGGCTTGGGGTACTCAATCGGTGTACATTCCTTAGCTGGTTT